TGTTGTGATAATGCGCTATACAAAAATAAATTTGTTGTTGTTGTTGTTTACAAGGGGGTGTGGTACACGGAAGGAGCAGACAATCGGGGCAGGACAGGGGTAGTGTTGGGGTAGATTGTTTATCGTTTTGGAAGCCCTTAAGAAAAAAATGCTCTTCTTGTCTTATTCTGTTCATTTTGTGTTAAAATGATAAAAAAAAAAAACATACAGTGGTACCTCAGAACTCGAACTTAATCCGTTCAGAACTCAGGTTTGAATCATAAAAAGTTTGAGTTCTGATTGAATTTTCCCCATAAGAAATAATGGAAAACCAATTAATTTGTTCCTGGCCCCAAAAGAATTACACCTAAGTATGTTTTTTTTGTTAGCATTCAAGCACAAAAAGGACAAGCTAAAACAAGAAGAGCATATACTGTACTAAACACATCTAAGCACATTTATCAAAACAGTAATTTATACAGTAAGAAAATAAATGTATCCAAACAATAAGTAAAGTAAAAAAAAAAAACCAATGTGTCCTGCCCCAATCGTCCGCTCCTTCCATGTGCCATGCCCCCTCGTTAACCTCGTGTGGAATCCCCGTGTGATCAGCTGTTTCTGGTTGTTGTCATTATTCCTCTACATTTAGTCTGCGTTTCAGTTTGTTTCCCCAGTCGGGTCATTATATTATCCATCTGCGTTTTGCCTACCTTACCTGTAATTAAACCCCGTATTCCCCGATACCCTGACGTCGGCGCCCGTCCCCGCTAGGCACAACAATGTTATTCTAATTAAATATATTAATGGTTTATTATTAATGATATTAACATAATTAATAAGAAATCTTTATTTTTAAATGTGTTTTATTGTATAATAATAATTACTGTTACTGTCTATAATTGTCTAAATGCATTTTTACTGTCTAAATACATGTATTCAGCTACTGTAAACATGCACGATGCTATCACAGCGAATGCGAGGCTGAGACTGAAGCGTTACCCTTTGTTTCCGTTGAGAGACGTGCCGCGTGACTCATATCCCCGCGCGTACAAGTTGTCTTAGATCGATATTCTCAGTTCGACTTCTGAGATTCAGATCGAGTTCTAGATCAATTTTTTTCGAACTGGTTGGTTCGACTTTTAAGAAATTTCAGTTCTAATGAGTTCAAGAACTGAGGTACCACTGTATTTAGGTGTAATTTTTTGGGCCCGGGAACCAATCAATTGCTTTTCCATTATTTCTTATGGGGAAAATTTGATCAGAACTCAAACTTTTTAGGATTCAAACCCCAGTTCTGAACAGATTAAGTTCAAGTTCTGAGGTACCACTGTATTCTGGTGTGAGGACAACTTGCTGCATCAACAGAAATACTAAATCCAGCAGTCATTAATCAAGATGAGAAATATGAGAAATAGTGAAGGCATGCATGTTGTCCTGATGGGATATACAAATTGGTCCATGTCATGCACAAATGACATGCTGCTGCACAGCCTCAGAAGAGAGACACTAGGCCTCGTTGGTGCTATTGGTCCGGCTCAGTTCCCTGATCCCTTGTAAGATCCGTTTCATATGGCCCACTTTAGTCACACCTAACTCCTATAATAAACACACACATAAGTTTTGAGCAGACACATATATGGGAAGAGAAATGCCCAGGGCATTCAATTTTTTTTAATATAACGGAATTATCATTTGAAGAAATTTGAATATTAATTACAATTAATGTAATAATGGTGCAATCGACCATTAAAGATGAAACCTGCAATGTTAGCCTACTACAGTCTTAACTGAGGAAAATGACAAGACAGTAACATATGCCAAAACATTTTTATTTATTTAGCTACTTACGGGACAGAAACACCAGCAGCAACAACCAAAAAGTCATCAAAATTGTGGCATGAAATTAAAGTAATGATTGACACTGCACGACTGACATAAGCTAACATGCATAAAATAGCTTGGGAAGGGGTCCCTACATTAAAAACTGGTGTCCTTTTCAGGTTTTTGGGAGTCACTGTATCATTACATTCTTTTTCTGATTCACACATTATTTCACTAGTTTCCTTGCAAGCTATTTTTCTTATTGTCATTTTGGCAAGCTCAATGAATGTAAACATCTCATACCTTGAGGTCCCGCCTTTCTAAGTGTAGGAGCTCAGCTCCACGGATGTCATGGCCGATGAAGATCTCCTTGTATTCCGAGAGACAGATTAGCTCCAACCAGGCTGCCACCTCTTCTGTACTCCACTGATTCACTGCAGGAGGCAGTTCATATCACCACTGTCACATAATCAACATATTGCAATGTGATTTTTTTGCAATAAATATTCTGATATTAATAACGCAAAAAAGAAATTTACCCAAAATAAACTACTGTATAGTAACGAAAGCGGAACTTATTATCTAGCAGTAGTCTGTAATTAGTGGTGTTGTTGGAGGTTGTGCAGACAAGTCATTGCTTTAACTCAACATTGTCTCTATGAAACCCAAAATATTTCAGTACAGCAGAAGGTAAACTTTACACAGATTTTTAACACGAGAGAGGAACAATAAAATTGCAAAGCTTGCTAAGTTTTCCAATGTCCTAGTAAAATGTTCTAGTGAAACTTACTGATGAATACAACTAGGCTTGGTTAGTAATACGTTTGGGACTCCGCCAGCGTTGCCCTTTGTCATTGATTCTGTTCTTAACTTTTATGGACAGAATTTCAAGGTGTACCCAATGGATGGAGGGAGTCTGGTTCAGGGGTCTCAGGATCACATCTTTGCTTATTGTAGATATTGTGGTCCTATTGGTGTCATCAGGTTGGGACCTGCAGCATGCTCTGGGGTTGAGTGTGAAGCGGCCAGAATGAGGATCAGCACCTCCAATCTGAGGTCGTGGTTCTCAACTGGAAAAGGGTGGATTGCACTCTCCTGGTGTGGGATGAGTTGCTGCCTCAAGCAGAGGAGTTTAAGTATCTTGGGGTCTTGTTCACAAGTGAGGGAAGAAGGGAGCAGGAAATCAACAGACAGATCAATGGTCAGTATTTTTGCCATCCCAAGGACTTACGTGATGGGTCTTTGAGCCACCCTCCTCTGTGTGCCACTCCATGGCTGTGCCACTCTACCTGCATTGCTTCAGGTGTGAAGAGCTGTAAGAAGAGCCGTAGAAGACGTGGAAAGCAAAGTGGTGTCCGGGCGAGATATGACCTGTTTAGGGTTTTCCGAGGGATGGACTTCTGTGTTGCCTCTGGAGAATGCTTACAGAATGCTCCATGCATTCCATGGAGCTTAGATACCAGGGGCTCTGGTCTGCCATGCTGGCATCTCCCGTGGCATTTGCACCCAAGGTGCTTGCGACGGAATTAATGCATTGTGGATGCCAGGAATCTTCGCCCACTACAACATGCATCCCGGTTGGCTAGTAATGGGCTGACGATGAGCATGGTTTTACTTAATGCTAGATCACTAGCAAACAAAACTTTCATTCTGCAGAACTTCTTCATGTCTCATGGTTTGGATTTTACGCTTTTGACAGAGATCTGGCTGAAGGTAGGTGAGTTCGCTCCCTTCTCTGACTCTTTCCTCCAGATTGTGAGTTCTTTAGCTCCCCTTGCATGGTGGTGGTTTGGCATTGCTTTGTAGAAGCACATTTAACCGTCATCAAATTCCATATGATGTCTTTTCCAGTTTTGAACTCCAGTTTATTGAGACTATGTTGCCATCCCCGGTGCTATGTGTGGTGATTTACCAACGACTGAAAGGATTTTATCTGTGAAACTTTTTGCCATGGGTAATTCCCCACTATGATAGTATTTTAATTGTGAGGGGTTTTAATATTCATATTTGTTGTGAAGATAAGCCTCTGGTTAAAGATTTTATAAATGTCATTGAGTCTTTTAATCTGGTTCAATCAGTGTCTGGTCCAACTCATAAACTAGGCCATATTCTCAACCTTGTTTTATCCTTCAGAATGTTCTCACACTTCACATAAAACTTCAATGGCTAGTAATAACGTGGATCTGTGCTATGTTTACAGACCAACAGAATGACATCTTACTACAAGGCTGTGCTGATTGACCAAATTATATCATGTGTCTCTATTACAGGCAGTGGCGGAGCCAGGAAATTTTCATTGGTGGCACGAATGGATTGGTGGCCATTTTTGGAAAGTACAGGTTTATTTAAGGCACCTGAACCACACACCGCAACAATATTTGGAATGAGGGTACTGGTGGAAAAGACCAGACAAAGTGATAAAGAAGCCTACGTTATACAAATGTAGCACATTTTAAAGACAATTGTAACAGGTATTACTACTTTGCTGAGAGATGTTCAGTTTGGCTTGTGATGATCAGAAGGATTGTGGGCAGTGTATCATCAGGAAAACAGACACAGTTACATATGCTGTGTTTGTATGTGTATATATATATAATAATAAATAATAATATGTACTGTATATATACACTCACCTAAAGGATTATTAGGAACACCATACTAATACGGTGTTTGACCCCCTTTCGCCTTCAGAACTGCCTTAATTCTACGTGGCATT